TTTATATCGACTCATTATACCAGCTATGCTATTAAAAATATGAATTGATAAAGTATCCTTAAATATAGACTCTATTCTTAAAATAAAAAATGATTGTCACTTATTCACCTTACCTTAATTAGATTATTTGCGCAGATTTCGAATATAATTCCAGCGCACGAATACAAACTACAAAGACTTCACTCTTATATCATTGTGATTATTTGTATTTTTAAACGGTTACTGTTCTCAATTAAGTAGGTGAATGTGGTGGTTAAAAAACTATACTTACAGGGTAGCCCTTACTTGAAAATAATTACATTCCAGTTATTATAGTTAATCGCGAGAATTAATATCGATTTAATAGCAGTTTGTCTCGTATCATCTGAAGTACATTATAGCTATTGTTAATGATGTATTAAGCTACCTATATTATTACCTAATTTATCTCTGACATAAATTATTCTACCCCATATTGCCTATTTAACTTAGATTTATAACAGCAATTATTTACTAAATCACTCATTTCTTATTACAACGAAGGGGCCCTCATCTATACCATCAAGAGCTTATAGTTTAGATAGCTATATTTAATTAATATGTAACATACTGATAATGCTCACATTCTAATCTAGCGAGCTATGGTGTACGAGCGATGGCATTTTCTGAGATCGTAAGAACCAATTTAAATTAGGAAATGTCATCAGCAAAGAATTTGTTTCCAACATATAATAAGTTTTATTATTCTACACCATGTCATTATGTAGGTTTTTATCGTTTACATTATCAAAGCAGATATTTATGTCTATTTATATCTATATAGTTACTATAGCTCGTTGTCGATCAATTTTCACCTGTGCATGTATTCAAATCATAAGGTAAGATCTAGAATGATAAAAATGCAGTTTAAATACAGGAATTCATTATCGTTTTTAGATTATTCAAGAACGACAGTACTAGAAGAATATGAATTGACAATAAATGAATATCATTCAATATCGCTGAAACACCAAACACAATCATCATTTACGAGTATCTCAAATTAAATTTAATACTCTTTAGCATCGATTACCTTATTTTATAATTGTTTGAATTGGATCAAATAACTATAGCATTAACAACTATTATCGAAAGCTATTTGCTAGAATCATGGACCATCACTTTTAGAACGAAAAGCCCTACGACTAGGTTTCTAAACGTTAATGGAAAGATATCTGAATATAGGATGATATCAGCTAAATGTTTAAAATATACGATATTATGATATTGCTAGTCAATTTGTAGCAAAGCCAGTCGTTGAGAATGACGGGATTGAGGTTATATATTCCTTTCTTTTTCCGGAGGTTGAAGCAGTTCAGTCCAAACTATATCGAGATATACTCGCACTCTTTTAGAAAGAACTGGTAATCTTGCAACTACGGTATGTTTCCATACTTTAAAGGAAAGATATCTAAAAATAGAATACTATTTGCTGTATGTTCAAAGTATGAAACGTTATAAAGGCTGCTAATTCCTTTATAGTTAAGCCAGTGGTAGAGAATCAGATGCATAGCTAAGATTAAGAGAAACATATTTCTTCCTTTTTGGGAAGGTTTTAGTTTACTAATCCTTGATCATATTGAGATACAGTCTACTCGAAGAAACGGTATAAAATACCATCAGACTCGCTGTTTGTACAACATTTCACAAATCGGTATGAGAAAGTTATGATGAACAAGTTAGGCCAAAAACCGTGATAAAATCATAGCTGTATATTATGCTGGTTTTTTTTCAGAATGCATAACATTATGAAAATCGGTCTTGGATAATTGCATATCATGCCGTACCACACTGTCGTTAAATTTTCCAAGTTTCAAGATATTTATTAAACTTGAAAGGATTGACGGTATTAAAATAGACCATAATATGAATTTGTCTAAACTTGATCCTTGTCAACTTTGTGCTTTCTTAATCGGCTTCCTCTTACTAAAAATATTGGTTTATAGGGCTACGGGTAGATTGGGACTTTTATCGATGGCATACATTATAAATTCACCTTCATAAACTCCAAAATTTGCTGATAGGATGCAAAGCAAGAAATGTTTCTTGGTATGTCTTATGTACTCTTGCAACATATCAGGTTCGACTTTCAAAATTATACGAATCCGTAATTACTTTGACAATTTTAATACATACCACTAAGGTTTGGGAAATGAATCAAGAAAAGTTACTTATTAAGTGTTCTAATCGATTATGCAATCGTAGATCTAATAGCATGTATGGGTTTTATAATAGTTATAATGAAGTTATTCTGCTACTAACTGTGCAGACTGTGTCTAACAAAGATAGGTATTTAAATAGAAAGGAAGTGCTAAATAAGAGGAGAAAACTAGCTTTATTTTGATCTTGGATTAATAACAATAAGTGCTTGAATCAGCCTATACTAGTAGTAGTTAAAGTATAATTTTATTGATAAAAGAAGTTGTATTAGCTTTCTTTTTATTTTGCTACAACAAGAATGATAGATGATCTAGACTACTATGTTATATCTTGCTGTTTTGAATATTCGTTATTGCAGAGTGTTCCAGGTCTTTATCAGAGGCCACGGTATCCTACTTTAGTCTCCTCCTAAATATTATATATTAGTATGTAGTTCTAGCTACAAATCGATTTCGCCAAACAAGTAAAGTTACGAAAGCAATGTACTGCGTCCGCATAAAGTTGTAATTATGACGAAAACACGAATAAAAGCATCACCATATGATTTTTAGGTAAGCAGTATGATTGAGTTTGTTCACAGTTCGATACTGTATTTACTTGCACTTTATGGCAGTTTTACGGTAATGTGTTTAAATAATCATTAAATATCCATATAAAATACTAAAAGATAATACTGGATATCCGATAATTTCTTGTAGCACCTTGCATATGTGGATAGGAAGAAACATATGGTATATGCATTTTATTGTAATTGCAACTTATTAGAAATTATCTTTATTTCGAATTGACTGACCGATAGATTTATTTCAATTCTTGTACCAGTAGAGTTTGGAGCATTAATAGCGAAAACAAGTTTAATTTTTCTCACCCAAAAGTAAGTATATCAAGTAAATTAAGATAGTGATAGCTGCTGTCTAATTGGTGTCGCTTGTGACTACAACATACTTATTTTGCGTACAACTAACGAAACTATTAATGGAATTTATTATGCAAAGTTGCCACAGAATTGCCTATGACCCTTGAATAAGGATATTTGTATAGTTGTTCTTATTCATGTAATAACTTGATCGTTTAACACAAAGCATTAGTTGAAATACGATTGGAATAATGGTTTTAGTCGGTGCAAAATTGAAACTTTTCCAAGCTATTTATTCAGCACTTCGAACTCTTACTCAATAGTACATACATTGTAAAATTCAGTTGGAACTGCATTTTAGCATTGACTAGTAAGAGCTTATAGCTGTTCATGCTGATAAATAGAAGAAATATTTCTACTATGTTATCGTATTTCCCACGTTACCCCTACTGAACATGTTTGATAGTTGAAGTATTATAGAGAAGTAAATAGATAAAAGAAAGTTGAAGTATTTGAATAAGCCATCACTCGTAAATTACTTTTTTGCTTAGCATAGTTAAGACAGTTCTTAAAATAATATAGGCACGTAACTTGATCGGGTGTATCAATGCCATAGTTAATTTACGAATTGAATTTTGTTTTCTGTTAGTTTGATCAAATGTTGTTACTTAAGAATTTCAGAAGTCCGCTGTTGCTTCTATGACTTCGAGCTAATACCATCAGGCAAATATACTTGTAAAGTTTTCTATTTTGACTTTTTGCTAGAAGAATTTCGTTACCTAGTTAGAATATCGTGTTCGATTTTATGCTATGAGTTTAGTACGGCCATTTCAGAAATTTATCTACATTCTGCTTTGCTTCGTGTTTGATAGTATAAAGTGATGTCACTAATGATCGCATTTTAAAACAGTAAATCCTGCACATGAAGTTATTGCAACTCTTACTTGAGAAACATGGACTTAGCTCTGTATGCTAACTGCTTCGCTTAGTATTAAAATGAAGGACTAAGACTTAAAAATGTCTTTTTTAAGTACGACCTTGTCCTATAAACTTTTAAATAGGGGATTTAAACTAGCTTCAAATTACCCTGAAATACTACCCTTTGGCTTCGCTAATTCTGCTATTGCGGCCTTTGAACTTACAGATGACGATAACTTTCGGCTTAACATTATCTGCTAATTTACATCTATAGCTATGAATTTCCTGTTATAACCTACTAGTCCTGTAGCAATATTTGCCGTGTTTCGTCTGAATTTATTGTAGTCCAAGCGCTTGAATGCACTTTATGAAACCTTAAGTAAAGTGCGCTTAGCATGCATGCCTTACAGTGTAGATGTAAGTCTCTCCATAGATATCTTTGAATTCATACATTGTGCATTTAAATTAGTAGACCTTTCACTCATTGCATGTTCATCATCGCTATTAATGATAAAATATATACAAGAAAGTAAGAATAAAAGTGGATAGTTGCTTGTACTTCTATAACCTATCAGTAATTTATTTCAGTTCAAATGCTGTTATGCAATGCACTTAATACTGCCTTCAGTAAATCGCAGATAGCATGTATGCATTGCAGTGTGAATGCAAGTCTTTCCATAGACATATTTGAATTCATACCTTATACAATTGTAATGCTGGTAAAAAAGCACGAGTATATACAGGAGTAAAAATAAAAGTGAACGGATGCTTTTACTTTTATTGCAGTCCAACCGCTAGTATGCTTATTATAACCTTGAGTAAGGCGGACATGGCATGCATTTCAGAGTAGATGCAAGTCTTTCCATAGATACATTTAAATTCATCTATGATGCTTTCATATTAATGCTTGAGCACTCTCTCTGTCGATATTTAAGGTTTTAATGCACACATTTATTTTGTTTTATAATTTACGCGTTGATCCTCAATTGAATCAATTTATGGAATGCTATAATAACAAAGTTATTACTTCATTGACAAAGGAAAAACCATGGTAGGCTCGACATCGATCATCTTGTTAGTTGGGATTGCAATAAGTATGTGTGTAGTCGATGGAGGCCATTCTAGCCATCTTAGCGCGTTAAGTGGTCATCATGGACTGCTTCAAGAAATTATCGATATTATCAAGCAAGACTCAGGCAAAGTAGCATCAGAGGAAATTGCCTATAAGAACCCGTATGAAAGCTTTCATATTATAGTAAGATTAACGTAGTAGTAACCGCACGTATGATTGGTGACTACTTTATGATCGACTGCAATATGGGCACTAAACTATGCTCGACCTGAAAATCTCATTGTAGTCATTCAAATAAATGTTGTTGAAGGCTTCAGTATATTATATTTACTCTCAGTTTTACTTTAAAACTACTTTATCTGTTGCGATGGTAATTAAATGAAAGTTGCAACTGGTTTGTACAGTAGTATAAATTGCCATAGGAAGCAAAATTTAAAGTTTGAGAAATATTGAAAGGATTGCTTGGAAAGACATTGCTTAATCAAAGGCATTTCTATCCATTTTAATATTTTATTTTTACATATCTATTTCAGCAACGTCGGGCAGCTTCACCAGGTTCCGTGACTGTTTGGGTTGAAGGAGATGTTAATCAGTGCGTTAAACCTAGTGCAAGCATTATGTCATTTTGCGATGTCAATTATCTGGTTCCGGCTACGATCATCAAGAGAACGACCAAAACTTTACATTTCATCATTAGCAACTTTAACATTTTGCAACGACAACTTTCCACTACATGCCAAAATTCTTTAAAAGATGTCTTATGTAAGGGAACATTGCCAAAGTGTTCTTCGGATACCAAATCGGCTACCTATCTGGATTTTAGTCGTTCCTGTAGTGGCTTAAAAACATGCGGTAGTAAATTAGTCAATGTTAATGGTTTAAATACGCAAGCGATATGCCAATCTACTGGTCAACAGTTTACTTTATCAACCTGCGTCAAATCATCTCTGGCTAGCATTAATTCCATGTATTGCGGCCCATTGCCAAAGGATATTGCATTTCCGTCGTGGGTTGTACCTAATTTGTATCAACAAAGTGCGATTATTGCCTCAATGAAATCGAGCTATGCTGCCGCTGGTGTTTCTGCCTTTTGCAGTGACAAATGGATCAAGATGTCGTGTACTACCATCCCTTTCTGTAGCACTGATCGCCGAAAAATTGTTAGCAGTGTAACTAAGCAACAATGTCAAAGTGCTATATCCTGGTAAGTAATGCAGAATGCTTTTGCTATATTACTTTTAATTTGTTGAATGAAATACTTTGCATCTAAGGCGTTGTATTGCTGTCCTGAATCAAGCGTGATTGTTGGCAATTCTAGTTTCGTAGTATTTCCGTAGTTAATTGAGGAAGATACGCTCATGAAAAGTTGATTTTAAGTAAAATGAAATGATGCATCATTTCATGCCATTTGTTCACTCTAATTTTATTATTTTAACGCCACCTTTGCCGGCGTTCTGTAAGCAGAAGATGTTCGTTTTATCTATTTGTTAGCGAACACTTTTAGATTCTAACTCGATCACACTTTCAAGCTTAGACAGAATAGAATTCTATCTTTAAACTTTAGCATTATGTGACATAATGCACGTATTCAATTGCTCTAGGTAGACAGTATGCGATAACGTCTATTATAGCTTGATGCCATTGCCATCCTTTCGCTAAAGTATACCGTATCTAAAATTAAATGCTGTTGAGATAGAAAGAAAAAGTTAACGTTACATTTTATAATATATATAGCTTACCGACTACCACTCAAAATGTTCTTGCTTTGGCTTGGGACTGCAATGCTTATCCTGATGAAAAATCTCAAAAAATGACCATGTCCGACAGTCAAGCGTATCCCAATGGTGCTTCCGGCTTAACTGTCAATATTGCATTACTATTTGTGATCTATTTCCTTTCAGCTGTGCTGCTTTAATTCCTATAATTTTCTAAGATTAAAATTTGCGCCTGGCGTTTTATAGGATCCTTTCTGCGACTAAATCGTAATCTTACTTTTGTAACTCAATGCTGTTAGTCTGTGACTAAGGGACACATTCTGCAAGCTAGGAATCACTTGATTATAAAATCACTTTAATGTTTGATTGTCGTAATCCGTTATCCATAAACTCTTTTCTTTTTAGATACTCGCTCGTATTTACAGATGTAATTGCTTGGCAAGATTTTATAACACAATACATGATGACTAGGTATGATTGTTTTCGGCGTAGTCGAGGATATTAATAGCCTTTCATTCGATAGGCTCAAAATAAATTCAAGTTGGATAAAACGCGATATTTCCAGGTGTAGTCATGACCGTATTTCGGTTCAATGAAGCTCATCAACCCTGTTAATGTAAAACAATCCATTTTCAATTTCCAGCTCAATATTGTACACTGTCCAGTACGGTCTATGCCCAATTTTCTATATCGTGCGAATTTTTACTTCATGTTTCCCTTCCTTGCTTTCCTCGACCATAAAAATGGATTAATTACTGGTATCTATTTATTATTGACGTGAGTCGAGATCTTGCCCATCTACACATAGAGTAGACGAAGCCGTGGCTGAATTTTTTATTTACATTACTATTCAACTATCGATGGCAATGAAGTATTTTCAGATATGCCCAACTGCCAACCTTCTTACGCAATAGCAGCCATTCATTTAGGTGTTGTTTATGCAAACGGGCTGATGGTATTGAAAAGCCAACTCCATTTTGGCATTCGAAAATTTACCCTACGATAGGGAGAGACTTCGAGCAGGCTACCAGCCTATTTTTCTAAAAGTACTCGTTCTACGAGCAGGTCTTTGTCCTTATTGAAAAGCCCACTCCATTTTGGCATGCGAAAATTTTACCCTACGATAGGGAGAGACTTGGAGCAGGCTACCAGCCTATTTTTATGAAAAGTACTCGTTCTACGAGCAGATCTTTGTCCTTATTGAAAAGCCATCTCCATTTTGGCATGCGAAAATTTGACCCTGCGATAGGGAGAGACTTGGAGCAGGCTACCAGCCTATTTTTTTTTATAAAAATGTTCGTTCTACGAGCGGGTTTTTGTCGTTATTGAAAAGCCAACTCCATTTTGGCATACGAAAATTTGACCCTGCGATAGGGAGAGACTTGGAGCAGGCTACCAGCCTATTTTTATAAACAGTACTCGTTCTACGAGCAGGTCTTTGTCCTTATTGAAAAGCCAACTCCATTTTGGCATGCGAAAATTTTACCCTGCGATAGGGAGAGACCTCGAGCAGGCTACCAGCCTATTTTTTTTTATAAAAATGTTCGTTCTACGAGCGGGTTTTTGTCGTTATTGAAAAGCCAACTCCATTTTGGCGTACGAAAATTTGACTCTGCGATAGGGAGAGACCTCGAGCAGGCTACCAGCCTATTTTTTTTTATAAAAATGTTCGTTCTATGAGCGGGTTTTTGTCGTTATTGAAAAGCCAACTCCATTTTGGCGTACGAAAATTTGACTCTGCGATAGGGAGAGACTTGGAGCAGGCTACCAGCCTATTTTTATAAAAGTGCTCTCGTTTAAGGAGTGGGTCTTTATCCTATTTTTCTTAGTCATCTCTGCTTTATTCGCCTCAATGATGTATCCGGTCGTGGAAATTTTGCAGAGGCTAAGGTAATATTCACGTACATTGGGGAAGCAGTGGAGTCTGTGGAGACCTACAACCTTGGTCATGATCTATTTTGGACTGAAGCATACCAAATACATGCTATGCTGGAAAGTCTGTACAAACTGTAGGCTGAGCTCTGTGGCGAAGAAATAATCAATCCATGTACATCGCAGTCAAACTAGGCGGCCATCCTGATCGTAAGTATTGTACAGTAGAGTATTGGAGTGTCGGCTATTTTGGCCATACTCTATTTATGGATCGCTAGAAGACGATGATCCTATAATTCCGACATTGAGCTTCATTCTGAAAGACTACTAAAATGGAAGACCTCGAAGACGACGAGTTCTGTTAGTAGCCTTGGCTTATGGCTGTCCGTTCCTGATTCTGAATGGCTTTATGATGATAGACAGAGTGCTGCATCCATCGTGGTATGCACAACAACGCCTAAAATCGAAGAATGCATTTATATGGATGCATATTTCTGTTCTTTGCTATGGAATTCATTTAAGGACTACAAGAAGGAGACTCATAATAGACTTCTTTTTGTCTTCAGTTTATTGTATTCTACACAGACAGTGGAAAGTGAAGGAAGGTAAAAAGTACAGTCTCGAGGGCGAGTGATGATGGACTAAGTAGAACATAATCATTCCTTCAACGTTGAGCTTATTGAGGAGACCGAGTCTTGTTCTGCTCGTCCTTGAGTAGACTACTGAACATAATGTATACCAAATTTAGCTACTGAGTCCATTTCTGTACTGCAAAGAATCTGCAAAGGGAAATCAGCTTGATTAATTTTACTGTTAGTTTATTTTTTTGACTACAGCAATCTAGTACTGCGCTATTGATCGTCGAGGAACGCCATTTTTTCTTGGAGAAAAAGGCGCAATAGCGCTATTTCAGCTGCCTCGAATCCGTGCTTCTGCGCACTAGTTGATACGACAGTACTACGTCACCTTGGACTGTACGAGTGTACTGTACAGTACGTGCTTCGTCGATGATTGAGTCAGATTGACGTCACCTTTGTTCGAGTGAAGGATTTGAGTTTGTCTTCTTTCGGTCGAGTACAGTACTAAAACGTAAAAGTGCTGTTGGTACTGTACACTGTACACTGTAAGCAGTACGAACAGACGAAACAGTAGAGCACTGTTGGAAGTCCGTGGTACCAGTACGGTACCAGTACGGTGAAAAACAATCAGTCCATTTTGCTAGCACAGTTGTAGAAAAAAATCCCAAAATGGATCAAAACAGAAACAAATTGAAAGGATCCAGTGATATACAGTACTGTACGCATGTAGAATTGTAGATCATCAAGGGTTTGCACCGAACCTTTCTCAGGTCTAATCCAGTCCATTTTACTCCTACTCAGTATCCTGATGCGGTCTAATACAGGAGTGTAGGGACTACTCCATGCAGCAATATCTTGTACTGTACAGTACTGTATATAAAACATTGAAAAAAGAAGGAAAAGGCGGCTGCCAGCGCTTGCTCCTTCAATGATGGATGTGCCGACTAGCTCGTTGCCGCTCGTCATTTCAACTGCATCCTCCCTCTCAAAATGCACATAGTACTGCTCACGGCGCACAATAAGTTGATGGTGGACCATTGCAGTATTACGATGGAGAAAAATCCACAGCAGTTGTTTACAGGGGCTCTTCAAAAAAAAAGGAAGAAAGGAAGAGAGCGGGGCAAAACGACGGTACCTTCGGTGTCAAATAGTGCCGAGGCTGATGATTCTTTGTGGCCATTCAACTCGACCGTAGACTACGGACGGGACAGTAGTACGGTACACCATCGCAAACCATACCGTAACCAGGGTTCAAATTAGGTATAGTTCTGTCAGAGTATCACTGTTTAAGCAGTGCAAGCAAGCGGTCAGTCCATTCCTAGTGTACCTCTGTTACAGTACAATGTACTGTCGATTTACAGTGTGCAGCACTGATATCAGTACTGTATCACTGTTTAAGCAATGCAAGCAAGCGGTCAGTCCATTCCTAGTCTACCTACAGTACCTCCGTTACAGTACAATGTACAGTACTGTCGGTTTACAGTGTGCAGCAGTCTACAGTATGCAGCACCGATATCAGTATCACTGTTTAAGCAGTGCAAGCAAGCGGTCAGTCCATTCCAAGTCAACCTACAGTACCTAAATCGACAGTACAATGTACTGTCGATTTACAATGTACTGTACTGTCGATTTACAGTGTGCAGCACGGATATTAGTACTGTACCACTGTTTAAGCAGGGCAAGCAAGCGGTCAGTCCATTCCTAGTCTACCTACAGTACCTCCGTTACAGTACAATGTACAGTACTATCGGTTTACAGTGTGCAGCACCGATATCAGTATCACTGTTTAAGCAGTGCAAGCAAGCGGTCAGTCCATTCCAAGTCAACCTACAGTACCTAAATCGACAGTACAATGTACTGTCAATTTACAATGTACTGTACTGTACTGTCGATTTACAGTGTGCAGCACGGATATTAGTACTGTACCACTGTTTAAGCAGGGCAAGCAAGCGGTCAGTCCATTCCTAGTCTACCTACAGTACAGTACCTCCATTACAGTACAATGTACTGTCGGTTTACAGTGTACAGCACTGATATCAGTATCACTGTTTAAGCAGTGCAAGCTAGCGGTCAGTCCATTCCAAGTCAACCTACAGTACCTAAATCGACAGTACAATGTACTGTCGATTTACAGTGTGCAGCACGGATATTAGTACTGTACCATTGTAGGGCAAGCAAGCGGTCAGTCCATTCCTAGTCTACAGTACCTCCATCACAGTACAATGTACTATCATTTTACAGTGTGCAGCACTGATATGGACTGTAGAATTCATTTGTTATGAGTGGACTGTAGTCGACTGGCCGATAGGGGTATGTCGCAAGACATAGCTTAAAGCCATACAAATGGGCTGTTTCCATTGCCGGCCCCTTGGACAATCGCTGTGTTGAATTGGGCTTGTACTGACTGCTGTCCTACTTTTCCTCCATTTCTTGTCAGCGACGAGCACCTCCATGACGACTGGAGATTCAGTTCCTTTCCATTGCTTGGCTTGAGTCGACGTTGTTGAAGAGAATTGATGTTATTTTAAAGGTAAGTTTTCACGTTATGCCTTGATTTCAAGTTGCACCTTGAAAAAGGAGTAGATTGCCGTTGAAAGTGTTGCCCAACAGTGGGTATCAAACCATGGGCCGACCTTGTCGCTGCAGTCGGACTCAGAATGGCCTTGCAGGAAGAGGTTAATGTATCATACAGCGCTGACTGACGTAGGCAGGATAACAGAGAGTCAAAACGACGGCAATCGATACGAATGGCGATCTCGACACTCTCAAGGCGCTAGATGCAGCCAAAGCAATGGCTGCTTTGACATGCTATCCATTGCATTTAGCCATTATTTTTGCCTTGAAAGACAGGGTATCGACCTGGAGTTGATGGCAGCAAGGCCAAAGATAGGATAAATGGAGCGTAGTCATCGACTACTGTCGAAAAGGAATCAATCGCTAAGCGATTCATTAAATGAGTTGATCATTTTTTGATCATGGCCCAACAACTTGCAATACCTTGCATCAATGATTGTCCATTTTTACCCCCAAATAATCCTCTTACTGCTACTGGATCAAGGTTATAAAGTATCCAATACGCTTGATAAAGATTATCGTAGTGATTGAAATACCATACTATGTTACCTTCTTCAATTCATGTCAATGGTGGTATAGGCCATCGACTGGCTCGTCTGCAGCCATTTTTCATTGCTTTCCATTGGGATTCCAACATTGTTGGTGAATCTTGACGCAACTCGTCCTAAGCCTTATTCTAATTTCACTTTTCATTCGTCTTCATGACGCCATAGTAAAGGGTCAATTCTTTTCTCCAATAGTCTCTATCCATTACTGTCTGTCCAATGAAGAAGAACCACTTCCAATTCAACTTTTATTTTCTTTCGCTTCCATAGAGTCACCGATAGCATCGACCGTGTCAACAACGGTACTTGCAGGGTTACCCCCAACATCATGGGGCAGTGTTGTTTTCTTCCTCCATCAACATCGGCCTAAGTCTTCGATCAATGAATGGATCTTAGTGATGCAATTCTCCTACCAACCAACTACTTTAAACGGAGTAGAACCCCAGCAATACAAACTTGAAAGGTTAGTTTAGACCGACGTAAACTTGTAGTAACGAGAGAGAATCCCATTCAGTGTACGTATGTTGGTACCCCAAAGCCATCATGACTGTAACGTCTAGTCCGAACAAATTGCCCATTGCCTCAAGAAGTGTTTTCGTCATCGGATTGAATTATTTTATGCCTTGCCAACCAGTACTTTGATATCCTTGATAATCGACAAGTATTTCTTTTTTTGCCTAGCATGATTCTACTCTTTATGATCTAGTCTAGAGTCATTGCAATCGTGTACATTACAAAAGTTAAACCACTACCTTATAGGCGTCGTGTTTTAGTATTGCATACAACAAATACGTTGCAACGAATGAATCAATCAAGCAAATCATGACAATCAGTATCATGATGAATTTTTACTTGGGTAATATGAGATGACCAAGTAGAGTAGTATTGTAATTGGATAATTCTTCCTTTTGCGGATGAAGTTTAGTTACAAGACGCCAATTTCTCCCAATGGCAATGATTACAGTTTTTCTCATGAAGGACAATACGTCACGTTGAAGAGATCGATCAAGAATAATTCATCATTAACGAATAATCATGGGAGATGGCTACTGACATGATGAGGAGTAGATGAAAGAGACTGACAGGAGGATTGAATGCTTCTCTCACGTTCTTTTTTTTCTTAGTTTTGTTTAGTATGATGGAAAAAGTGAAGAGTGTAATACTTCTCACTTTGAAAGTCAAGTATAGTGATGTCAACATGGAGTAATAATCATTAGCCAAGGCTAATGATAATTAAGACTCTTCTGACAAGACTACAAAATTTCAATAGCGTACTTTAGTGCTACAACTCTTACGTTTCAAGTGATCAATCAAGTTGTAGTAATGTTGAAGATTTGCAGAGTTGTCAAGGTTACAATATTTTCATCCCCTGCTATCATCTACAAAGGTTTGAGAAATAGCAACCGATAGGTGCTAAATTAAGCCAATAAACACCCCTGGACGAGCGATGATTTGGACATAATTAGAGAATCTTTTATTGACCTTGCAATATAGCTGCTATCTTGGCCTTTAAACATTGTACATTGACGTAGGTAGTTTGTAGGTATATATCATGGAAACGATGCATACTATTTAACAATCAATTAATGGTATATTCACTTTGGTTGCTGACTAATTTAGCTTAAAAGTTAGTAAGAGCTACATTTCTCGGTACATCTTTCTTCATCATTCCATTGTCTTCCATGCCCTAACGGGAAAGATGTTCTATCATTTTATGAATCGTTGTGGTTACATGCAGTTACAGGTGTATTATCCCCTAATGTCTTGCTATGCCTGTAAATTGGACAATTGTGTTAAATCGATTACCTTCTTAATTTCTTATCCATGCTCAATATTCCTTATTGTTATGCTATCTGGTGTATAGCCTGGTGGTTAATTACTATTGAGCGGCTAACCTTTACAAATAGTGTGATACAAACCTGTTTTTTCAATATCTGCACAGGCTTGATTAACTTGTCTCGTGATGTTCTCAATCATAGGTAAAGACTTAGCAGAATTGACATAGTGGATTTGGGATCTTTGGAAAATTATTACCAACGTATTCTACACCAAGTTATTAACTGAATTTGTTGAACTATCTTTCATGACCACCTTTTATCAGGATCTGGTTGTGTTTGATTGTAAATTAAGCAATCAGTCACTGCTTATTCAGTATTAAAAGCATCATGACTGTGTCAGTACTTGTAACAGGCTCAGAAAATAATAAAAATTCAAAGCCTGCCAACTCATCTGGGAATAATACAACTAGTGATGTCCCAACGGAAGATAACAGTGATACATCCACTACTACTACGACAACATCAACAACTACTACAACCATGAGCAGCAGTAACACAACCATTAGCACTATCCAATCTCCTTCAGGTGAAAAACAAGATAATACCGAAACAGGTTAGTCAAGCTGCATAAATTACTCACTGCGCTTACCATTAATTGATCTGTGGAGCTTGATTGTCTTTGTTTAATTTTCAACTTAGTTGATAGTGATGAAATGACAAAGGTAGAAATCACATTTCCAATCGCTGAACTTAATAAACTGGAGGAAATGATAAATAAAACACGTTGGGTAGTTCCAGTTTTACCGGGTGGTGAATTACTGGTGTTATTAGAGTCTTCCATTAAAATTGGCCAACAAAGTGATATATTTGAATGTACAGGTAATGCCTTACTTGGCAGAGAACTCTATTTGTGTATATTATCTACAGTATTTGCCTTACATTTGAACTTACCGTCACACGCTCTCTTATCCACTATCATAGATGAAGCACATCAATATTGTCAGAGATTTATTAAAGATGGCCTAGTTTCATCCTTTACTAAAATTTTATGCGATGATGCCGTGAGTGGATGGAAATTCGAGATTCAGGCAAGTTGTGGCAATATTGACCTCGTAACACAACTTGTTGGATATGGCGTTTTATTATAGTGTTCAATTCTGTATTGATTAGAGATCAATTGTGAAAAACATTGAGAAACTGGTAGAATTATGCGTTGTAACGTTTCATCAAGATATTTTGCCGTTACTTGATTTATTAGCTGTAGCAATGAATCCGAGCTCAAGGTAAATTCTGTCAATTGTTATTGCTAGTAATCGTTTTCTGTCAAGTACCCAATATCTAAATTAATGCTGTTCTTTCAGATTTCATCAGCATAACAGCACAAAATCGTCTGAAACCGTTGCATCCTGCCATAACGCCGATGAATTATTCGCTAGATCTGTTGATTCAAAATTCCCAAAAGTAACTAATAAAATGAACATTTTTTTATACCCTTTAATGTATGTATTCAACGGCATTAAACTCCAATTGCTTTACTGACACAGGGCTGGCTTGTTGATGTCATTAATAAATTTGGAATGTTGGGTGGCTTTGAATCGGTAGTGGATCGCGTGCTGAATGGACCCAATCTAACTGTGCCAATCATTGCGTCCTTGATCAGGTAATTAGCGATAGCTATGATTATAGGTATGTACGTTATTAAGTAGCATTAACCAAATTGTTAGAGAACTGTAATCCGTAGAAAAAGATCTAGTTATTGCTATTAACATATAACAGGCCATTCGGAAATTGTGCCGATTTCTTAACGGAAACTACCCTTCGGAATTACATGATGCCTATTGTGGTGAGGTTTGCTTCACTTTTTAATTGACGGGAGTAGAGCTTTGCTTGATCGTATTGTATTTATTTTTTTAGGATCATATCACCAAGTTATTGGATAAGCTCAGCGATGACGAGTTGAAGAAAGAATCCAAGAGTGAATCGAAAAGTGACGCAATATCTAGCATTATTAGGGTATGATATGTCGATAGTGCCTCTTTTCTTCTATCGTTCACTGAAACGTAGCGCTCATTAAACCCTAATATTTTAGCTGTATGATAGATTGCGAAAAAATAACACGCTGATAAATTATATATCTCGCTAGGCTTTGAAGAATCTGTCTGTTAGGGTGCCAGGCAAAGAAGAAGTAATCCGAACTGTTGAACTGTTTAGACTTAAGATTGTATTAAGGTACTCTTTCAAATACTAATCACAGGTTATTCTTAATGTCACTTACCATATTGACCTATTCTTTGCCGATTAGGTTATTACAGATGTCTTCCTTCAATGGCAAAATGAGTGCCTTAAACGAGGTAAGAAAATTAGATAAGGTACTATGTGAACAAGGCATTATAGAATAAATCTGATCTTTCCTTACATTGCTATTCTTGCAGATGAACAGATTAATAATGAACGTATCGTACATTACTCATCGTAATACTGGCTCTTCATATCCAGATGATGATTGGCTAACAGCGGATCGAATCGCTGTAAGTTGGATTTACTGGGTTCTTGCGTTATGGAATGATTCGCTAATAATACTATAAATTTTATTTGCTTTTCTAAAATTGCTTTGATGTTTCAGGAATGGATACAACAAAATGATGTTCTTAATGTAGTTTTACGGGACAATTTACATCAACCACAAGTAAATTGATGCTAATATCTGCTTCATTTTAATTAATATAATTACATGTATGTTAGAGTGCAACCATTTGATTTGGATATCATCTTTGTATAATTAGTACGTTGAAAAATTAGAGAAAATCCTTCGTTTTGCGATTAAAGAAAAGGCTGTTACATTTCGTGATCTTGATTTAATATGGGCGGCCCAGGTTTGCCAAAATTTTTGTTTCTTATTTTATTATCATTTGTACGAAAATGAAATAAAAAATGACATTCTATACTTTTAGGCTGGAAAACACGAAGCCATTGTAAAAAATGTGCATGATTTGCTAGCAAAGCTAGCTTGGGATTTTTCCGCGCAACAACTGGATTATTTATTCGACTGTTTTCAAGTAATGTATTGATATTACAACTTTTTTTTAAAGTCTGGTAACGTACTTACACTTCTACATATTATTGCAAAAATAGAAAAGTTGGACCAATGCATCTAATAAACAAAGAGAGAAATTGATTGAATTGATTAGACGTCTTGCAGAAGATGATAAAGAAGGCTTCATGGCCCAAAAAGTAAATTTAGTAATAAATATAACTGACTTTGTTACCTATTGATCTTTAGAATATACTGTGCTGGAGTTCTAATGGTATCACATGAAAAATTACAGGTTTTAGAATTATTGTGGAATTTAGTTCACGACAGGGACGTCCCTATTGAAATTATGGATTTAGCCTTGTCTGCACATATTAAAATTTTGGACTACAATTGCTCACCGGTAATTACTTTTATTTGTAGATGACTGTGATAATTAGACAAGATTATACTAAAGTTAACTTATAACAGGATCGCGATGTACAAAAGACAAATTGGATCGATAAATGTGTAGAAGAGCTGAAAGAAAGTAATTGGGTCATTCCAGCTGTCAAGCACATCCAAGAAATTTGTCAGCTATTTTATGAGGTACTATTACCCCTGTAATGATTTTAAACTGTTTTTTGAATTTTAATTTTGATTTTATCGTTACGATCACCTAGGCACCTCGAGATTATTCTCGTTCTCAGCCATTATCGCATTTATTTTATCGCCATGAAGTTATAAATCAGTTACAACAGAAACACAAAATTGTTTCTGTAACCGCAGAAAACTTATCGATTTATATGAATAAGGCCAGAGCACATTTTCAAGGTTAGTCGAATTTGTTAAGGATTACATTTATAGATGATCAATATTCATTTCCAACTTATCCTTAACAGCTTTTCGAGAGAATTCCACCTCAGACGTTATGCCTGCTTCGCACTATTCCCATTCTCAACAAGTTGACGAAAGACTTACATTTTTGAGGTAGAGATGCTATTACGTTGATCGTAGAAGTCTATTTATAATAAGTGCAATTATTTGTCGTATACTAATTCTGGGGTAACCCTTACATACTTTTATTTGCTGAAGATATTGTTTAAGAGACGGCCATCTAATTTTACAATTGCCTGAAGCCGAACTTGTAAGCGACTTAATATGCTCTGATTTTCAGTATGTATGAGTAGTATTCATAACAGCAACGTCTGCTTGTTATAGATTTGGTTTTGCTTGGCTGAAAAAGGAATCCACTTAAGTGATAGAGAAGCTTGTTTTACTTGGTTTTCTAGGGTAAGTAGTAGTATTTGTTTATTCATTTCACATATTTCTTAGTGGACTACGACAATAAAGATTATGGAAGCTAAACACACGATCCGTTATAGATTTTAGAAGATACCACTGTAATGCAACCTGAGACATGTCAGAAGTTCTTTGAAAAAAATATTCTGACGTTCGACCCTAGCCTTCTTACAGAAAACGGCGTCAGGTATCTATGGATATTATATAAGTTATTGTACTTTTTGCACTTATTAATCAGATATTTTATTTGGAAATGAATGCTTTTAGGTGCTTTGAATTATTTTTTCGTGCTGTTAACGGAGGTACTAAAATTAATAATGAAACAAAGCCGATATACAAACATGACCAAGAGCTCATTGGTGTAGATTATATCTGGAGGGTAGGATAGTTAATTCTTACTCTTTAAAATGATATCGACTTTCGTTGTAAATCCACCTTCTTTGACTAACTAACTATGTTGTTTAGGTTGTATTATGTAGCGAAGAGGATGTGGCAAATAAAGCGATTGAGTTATTGAAGGAAACTTATATAACCTTAAATCCAGATGTACAGAATAGTCAGGTACGAATAGTTGATGCAAATGCCCAAGCTCGTAGCTAATATACTTAAACAGCCAATCAATTTATGCTAATTTTGACTCTATGGTGTAGGTTTTGGCTGATAGCGAATTTATAGAGACTTGCATGAAACGCTTGCAAGTGTCATGCAACAATTTAAGGTCTTTTGCTATGACCGAAAGTAGTTCCACCGAAAGTCAAGACATGATTGTCAGAGAAGCTACTCGTAACGTTAGAGTCCTGAAAGTAATAAAGGATTACTTTGCAGACTGTGATGATGAATTTTCTGGAGATAGGACAATCTTACCGCATGGGAGGTAAATATAAAATGTATATTGAAAATATTGATATAATTATACCGATCTTAGCAATAATGGATAAAATCGTTGTTACGGTGATAGAGCTTGTCGCGGTAAGCACATAACCCTTCAGATTAGGCTGCCAAATCATCTTAGAGGTGTAGAAGATAGTGACTTTTACACTCATTCTAACGAGTCCGTAGGAACCCTTCGCCGACGTATTTTAAATAGGTGAAGATTTCGTTTCTATGTATTGATAACATTTTTAGCTTCTTTATTACGACTGGAAAGGACATAACGCAAATGGCTAATATTGTATGTTAGGTTAAGGTCTTGTGGTAATAATCGTACGGATTTATATGTAAATAATGAAATTTTAAATCCGGCTGATGATAACAAATTGGTTTGTGATATGCCAATACGTGATAGATCGGTAAGCAAAAATACTCTCTTAGTTTCAGTCCTCTACTGTTTATACATACAGTACATCATCACTCGCGTTAATGACTTATTAAGTAATTTTCATTAACTGCTCATGCTTAGATCATATATGCGAAAGTAAATCAAGGAATTAATTCTGTACCGTCGTCGCCAGACAGTTCTTCAGAATCTTCTTCTGGCTATCCTAATGGGCATTATGATGGCCCAAATATTGATGCAGAAAAATGCCTACCAGGAGTGGTTTGTCATTTATAGCAAATTGATTATTATATGAGTACTGTCTTTTTATCGTTAACTATTTTATGGTGTTAGGTATTTGCTGGAATGGAAAACCATGTTAAATTTTTGTTCGACCTGGCTGATGTGGGTGCTATTTTCGAAGCAACCGATGGCATAGTAAATGGTGTCTATGATTTGCTGCAACGATTACCCTCAGGTAGGTTGCCCATAAGATGCTATGATTTGATGGCATGTGCGCAAGTTACATTGTGTATTTCTGGTGCATTATTTCATATTCTATTTACTAATTATCTCTATATTTGCGATATAGCAAATTTTATTACAAAGAACGTAGAAACGGTGTGTAAAGGTATAGTTGAACAGTATGATGAAGTTCATGACGGAGGAATGTTGAAAAACCAACTTGGGGAGACCGTTTCTCTACGCAGTCTGTATTCGTTAGAGGTAGGCATTTTATCTGCAAATTTGTGATATTAATAAAAATATTCATCTTCTGTGTTTTACTGCAGGTAATTTACGCTATGTTGATGCCTGCTTTTTTACCACAAAGTGAAAGCACTGAAAATTTTCAGGTTAAGATCAATAAAGTATTCTGTACTATTTAAATTTCAGTACTGTCCTATGTTAAGCAGCCTAAATTTTAGACAACCCAGTTGATATATCATATTTATGCATTTTGTTTGTTGATCTAGAAATCCTTTATTAAATCTGGTGGTTTAAGCTATATTTTTAGCTTTCTTCGGCAAAATATATCTGAGCAATCGTGTAATAGAATGATACAGAGGTAAAATATATAAATGGTAAAGGAAAAATACGCGTGGATTTGTATCTTTTTAATATTTTTTTTTTTTATAGGCAATTATGCCATCTGTGTTTGAAAATAGGAAAATTTTTGCTGACCGTAACTGGTCATGCCCAGGTTGCAATCGTTGCTGATGCTGTTCGTGAAAATGGAAATTCATCTGTTACGCCTGCTGCACACTCGGCTGCTCTAGTTTTACAACAAGCTTTGCAGACAGTTCCATGTCCTCAATCTGAGTTTATGTTAATAAATATCGCCGCAAAAATGGGGAAAATTATGAAAGAGAAGGTACAAATAAAAATATTTACGTGTAATAAGTGTATAAAGTGATATCAATTCATACATCAATTTATACTTAGGCTACAAGGTACATGCCTAGTATTGAAGACATACGGCTTTTCATCAAGATTGCTTGGACTTCCGCTGGCGGTCTCCTGTCTTGCATCAATATCTCTATCGACGAATTACAGAAGGCTTTCCGTCATGGAAAGGTAAAAGAAATTCTGTCATCTTTACGCTAAGAAAATAATATTAATTTTTGATCAGCTATAATAAAGATTAATTATAAATGGTAAACTATTTTAGACCTCGACGGTTACATCGTGTATTGACGAAGGTCCTGTTGCAATGGAAGCCCTTGAGGTATTTGTAGAAATATGTAACGCTCTTGTTTTGGTTATACTTTTTACAATGATTCCGTTTACTCTTCTACAGGTTTTAGGTGTATCCTTGGCGCTGTGTCCTTCAATTTTGGATACACTTAGTCGTGAAAAGTCATGGCAGCTGTTTATCGTAGACGTGTTGTTAGTATGCAGAAACAGGTCACTATTATTATGCGCTAAACATGCATTCGTATCTATGCACTACTAAGGCTAACTGTTAGCCAAAATGCTTTCAACATTTACTGTTTTATTTAGGTCTGTTCGAATTTGTGCTGCTGAGCAGTTTTTAACGATCGCTACTAAGTGTAGCCCTGGAAATAGATGTCTCTTACATTTTCTAGAACTATTTTTTTCAATTTTAACGGTATGACTTCACTCAGATAATATGATTTATATTAAACACCATTATTTACAGAGTATGTAATCTTTAGTTGGTATAATCACTGTATGCTATTTTTTAGACTGCTGTAGAAGAATTTGCGCTGTTTTCTGGAGAATACTTTTTGCTTTCATGCAGGTATATACAATGTAATGTGCTATTTAGTAAACATTCAATTTCTCTAATTGCCAGTGAAAGTGAAGCCTATTACGATCTATGATTGCGTGTGTGATTATGATATTACTTGTTGTAGGCTGTTAAATTACGGCCATGTAACCAAGGTCCCAGTTTCTAAAGCGGAGAACTTGCTTCTTAATGAAATTAGTTGGTTACGAAATATAAAGGTGTGATTTTCTAATTCGGCTATTTATGATTATTTATAATCATATTAATGATATTTCGCTGTCCCTTTCAGGAGAAATTTAAAAAGAATAACGTGCTTGGTGACATTGATCAAATATTACTAGACGGCCATCTAAGCGTCACCAAAGAGCTCTTATCCTTTATCTCCGGTCAAAAGAAATCGTACATTGGCTGCAAATATGACAACATTAGTTTCATAGAGGTGATACGAAAGATATCATTAGTTGGCTTGTCATTCTGAAATAGTATTACTAATTTTAAATATGTCATTTTTAGGAACTCATGTACCAATTTTTGTTTCCTGCTTCGAAGTTGCTACATGATATTGGATCCAAGAAAGGTGAGATGATAAAGCGTCGCGTATAAGTAAAGTTTTGAATAAAATTTACTCCTTAAGGAACGATCGGTATATGTAATACATGTCTACATGGTTAACCTTTATTGCTTTATATATCATTGGAGATCATTCTTTAAATTCATGTATTTACAATATAGACGACATAAATTGGAAACAGGTGAAGCGAATTTGTCATACCCCTATTACTACTAATGCCGCAATGGATCTATTAGTCGCATTCTGTGTCGGTTCAATATCGAACTTCCACCTTGTATGCAATATTTTATCTGAATTGTTTAATTACCGTAAGTATTTATCTATAAATGGAATAAAATTGGATTAATTCATTATTAGAACTATTGATTCTAATATTATCAAAATTTTGATTAGCGGAAATTTCTAATGCTTTGGATGTCTGGGAGTATTCTCCTACCGTTGGATGTAGACCTTCTAATGGTTATGTTGGACTAAAAAATGGTGGTGCTACATGCTATATGAATTCTGTGCTACAGCAGGTTTGTTTTGCTTATATTATTTTCTTATTGTACTCAAATGCAGTTCCTAAATATGCCAAGTATACTTTCAGCTATTTATGATACCGGAGGTATGTAAAAGTGTCCTAAACGTTCAGACAAGTTTTGAAAAAGAAGAGGTAGACGCTTACGACGGTTCTGATAAGGGAGGCGATATCGAGGTAAGAGTATTGTTTCAATTGGATTGATAGTACTGATACAGTGGGTCATTCGATGGATGGTTTTATTCTCCTGCAGTTGAATATTGACCCCTATATCCGGGAAGATCGGCAGAGGTTTCAAGATAGTAGAAAAGATATGCCGATAAAAGAATATAATTTATGTTTGTTAAAGCAAGTACAGAGTATATTTGCGCATTTAACCGAAAGTCTTTTACAATACTATATCCCTCGTGGTTTCTGGAAAATGTTTCGGTTTGTAATTTTTACTGCTGCATTTGCGGATTGTTAGAATAATTATTAATTAATTTTTTTGGGCTTTTCTTCGATAGTCTTCAAGGTAATCCAGTTAATTTAAGAGAACAACAGGACGCTTACGAATTCTTTAATAGTTTAGTGGATACACTGGATGAAGCATTGAAAGATCAAGGTTTTCCGCCATTTTTGTCGCATGTTTTTGGTGGTACATTTGCTGATCAAAAGATCTGTAAGGGTTGCCCTCACCGTTATTCGCGAGATGAATCTTTCACCGCAATCAGCGTTGATATTCGTAACCATCAGAACATGGTTGAATCTTTAGAGCAATATGTTAAAGGAGATTTGCTCGAAGGCGTTAATGCATATTATTGTGAAAGATGCGATAAAAAGGTATGTTTTGATATTTCTCGAAATATTCATGCATTAGATCATGCTAAATTTAGTAGTAGTATCGAGTATTGAATGTTATAATAAGCAGCCTTCACTCGATCTTAAATAAGGTTGACACCGTGAAGAGGATGTGTATTAAAAAGTTACCAAAGATTTTGGCAATTCAGTTGAAAAGATTTGATTACGACTGGGAAAGGTATTATCGTTTCTATTTCTTGGCTTTAACGATAACAACAATAATATAATAAACTGCATATCACATTGTTTCGAAGGGATTGCGCTGTAAAATTTAACGATTATTTTGAGTTTCCACGTGAATTCGATATGGAGCCATTTACTGTGGCTGGACTGGCTAAAATTGAAGGTAACGTATCGTTTTCGATATTTTAAAGCATGGAGTGCTAATAATTAGTTTACTCTGATAACAGCGCATTATAAATATGCCCATTTTAGATGAAAGCATAGAAGATATCGAAACTGATAGTGAAGACTCTCCAGTTACTCAGTACCGGCTAGTTGGCATGATTGTACACAGTGGTCAAGCTAATGGTGGTCACTATTATTCTTATATAATAAAAAGGTAGTTTAAAAATTCTATAAATTATTATCTGTATTGGAAGTATGTATTTAAGGATGAATTGAATATAGGGGTGAAGATGGTAATGGTGGTCAGTGGTTTAAATTTGATGACGGAGATGTTACAGAATGTAGGATGGACGACGACGAGGTATTCTCTATCAATACCTTATTTTAATAGCGGTAGTATTGATTACTTATGTTGCTTCGCGTATACATCAATTAAGGAATTGAAATCTCAGTGTTTTGGTGGTGAATACATGGGTGAGGTATATGATCAAGTAGTAAAAAGGTAATATTGATGGAATATTTCTGTCTTCGTAAGGGATTACTTTCTTTACTAATATACGTGTATAATATTTTTCAATTATCTTATCTACACAGAATGTCATTCCGACGTCAAAAAAGATGGTGGAATTCCTATATCCTTTTTTATGAAAGAAAAGACATTGTAGATAATGATGGAAATATGCGTAAGCTGTTACTTTCAAAAAACTACAGAGTTTTCAGAGTCAATAGCATGATCCATTTGTTTAGAGTTCTTGTTGTGCTAACATTGTAGATGGTTTCCAGCAAGCTGTAAATATACCTAAACAAATTCACGGTGCCGTCATTCGACAAAATATCTATTTTTTGCACGAACAAATGCATTATAGCTACGAATACTTTCAATTCATTCGTAAGCTAATAATTGCCAACTTTCAGCACCTTAGCCGGGATAATCAAGTAAGTAGTACGGTAGAGTTGTATAAGAGTAAACTTGAAGATTTCTAACTTTACTACATTTATACACAACAATTCTCAACTTTGTTAATACTTTGTTAATGAATATTTAATTATTTGTAGCCACCTGATCTGGAAGAATTTGGTGTTTTAAGTATCGAGATGGCTAGTAAATTTTTATTTAGTATAGGATTTAGAACGAAAAAGGGCATTAGGTATGGCTCTGATATTGTTTGATGGTTTAAGTGGTGTGCATGCTTGATCAATAGTTTTTGTATATTGCCTTATTTAGGGGTTCATATAACGACTGGTACGATGCTATTGCGTTAATATTTCGCCATAGTAGAAATGCAAGAATATGGTTTGCACGGAATGTGCTATTTGCGCATCCTCAAAGATTTACAGAATATCTATTGGAATGTCCAGTTGGGGAGGTTCTGTGTTAATTATTATCAGCCTAATTCAACTGATCCTCGACAATTTTTATACATGGAAATTAATTTAGTGCATTCAATTTTATAGATGCGGTACACATTTGCCAAAATTATTGTTACACTATGCCATCTGACATTGATAGAAACACCGACATCACCTTTGAGATTATCATCAGCGGATAATGGTATGTAAAAGAGGCAAATACAGCATTAACTGAAGTAGTTTTTTTTAGTAGTTTATGTACACAATGCTAATTAAAATATTTCCATTTATGTCTTATTTAGATGACGAGGAGACCGAATATACGCATTCTATTAGTGATAACATTCTTAAGGCAGTTTTATCGCTAATTAATAGAGATTTGCCTGAACATGGCCGATATTATCAACAGTATTTTCAGTTGTTTTTAATGTATGCTAATTTTGGAATGGGCCAGGTTAATAAATAGCATTACTTTTCCAATAATTGTTGGTTGTTAATTTGTATATTTTTTGCCACTTACTAACTTTAAATAATGTTGCTATTACGTATTATAGAGAATTCAACTGCTACGCTTAGGCGTTGCAGATGTCTTTATGAACTTAAGTTCGGACGAAAATACGGGATCGGTATTGAGATACCAATCTCAGGATCTTAGTAAACTACATGCAGTTACTTCGATACTTATTCGCAGCTGTGATATATCCAATAAAGAAAAACAATGTGAAACCATGGTACGTTTTTTAGTAAAGTCTATTCGTTTTAATTGTCAAGTTTCATTAAGTTGTGATAAAATACTGAATTACTTTCCGTGATTACTGATGCAATTTTAGCCTGGCAATTATGGAGAAAACCCATATACCGAGCTCTCACCACATGATCATAAAAAATGGATTCTACCGTTACCTCGAGAAGTAGAAATGTTGTTATTTATCAGAAAAATGTGAGGATATATGAAAATTTGTTTTAATTGTTACTTGCATTGATACGCTATATTTGTCTCCCACTGATGTTAAAGTATTTTTGCTATTTTTTTTGTAGATATTTGAAGAAGATCTTGGAAGAATATCCTGGAAATGAAGAAACCGCCAAGTTGATCGAGGTATTCTGGTTTCAAAATTAGAGCACATTTTTGCAAATTGATAACATATACTGTAATACTGCCATGTTTACTAGGGAATCTGATTTATTATCGCTTTTTATCGTTTCAGTTTTGTTCTTGGGAAAATGAGCATTTCTCGAGGCTGATTGTTTCCAAGCTGCTCTATTATGTATGTGTTTAATATTCATTAGTAGTAATGCACGCTTAAATTTCACCTCAATTTCAGATATTACAGTTATTATAGATAGATGTCGTCAGATTAATCTTAGAGCTAATTCTTGATCTATCCGAAATAGATCCAGCACGCTCCGTCTGGGGATCGTTTAAAGCCTTACATAGATTTATTTGTTAGTGTGTTGACCATAGAAGATTCTTGGCAACAACAGCGTATACACCTAGCTATGCAAGGTTCTAGTTGAGCTCGATGCCTTTATGTCGCTATATTATATTTATAACAATTTAATATATCTTTAATTTCCTATAGGTATTTCCGATGAACGACTTGGTATCTTTGATATCATTATCAACTCTCGTGGTCGTCATCAAAAGCGCTCATATTTGTGTATGAAATTCCTTGTATCATTTATTCCTAGGTGAGATAAGCATTTGTAAACATACGTACATGAAATCGTGCCATCAATTTGGGATTAGGGTAAGATGACAGAAGTTGCTTAAAGAATTTTTAATTAACGACAGCTATAGAGTGGCATTGGAATTATTTCAAGATAATCATGTTTGGAAGCAAAAGTGGACTGAAGCAGTTAACTGGCTAGGAGACGAATTGGATAGGGTATGTAGGACGGCAGTATCTTTCTTTGATATACTGTATTTATCATTACAGTTTACGTCAAGCTTCTATGGTAGAATCGATATAAATAAAATTCTTGTATTTATGACATTAGAATACCTATCCTACCGGTAGCGGCTATGGTTATACAAATTGGTCTCCCCCTGCACAATCGAACGAAACTTCGGCTGGGTAAGATGAGTTAACCATTTTAAGTATATGATCAGTAATAAAATAATCGACTTGAATTACTCTGTTATGCTTTAGATCACTTTTGGAACGATCTAATAGTGCACGTGTTGTTTACGCGAAAGCTTTGGAATTAGTCGATGAGGTGAGATACTAGTATATCAATGGGGTTGTGCAATTGACAACGTAGCTGTGTATTAGAGTGTTTATGCAATAGACAATGATATCAATAACTGAATATAGATGTCTTCCATAGGGTGAATATGATGATATTGAAGAAATCGATGAACTTAACGCTCAAAATGAGCGTAACAAACGCTATCACGCAGCCCCTAATCGTTACTTTCCGGAATCTGACGATAATCTTGCTGCTAGCGAATCGACGCGGCACGAAAATTCTGATGAAGAAAATAGAGGCTCAAGGAGAAATTTAGGAAATTAATGCAGGATACAGTAGTTCTTTCTATATGGCAACATGAAATAAATAACTATATGGTGTATAATAATAGAAATTCTTGCAAGAGGCTAAACCGTCAATTCATTTATTGTTATCAATAACGAAGAAGATCGGCCTAGAGACGTTAACAATTTGCATTGTAAATGCCTAACTGAATTTTAGTTGCTAGATACCTTAGTAATACTACTAATTACATTTGTGGTTACATGATGTTATAAAAACAATTTTTGTGTCACTGTATAAAAGATATATTAATTGCGGAATATCATTTAGCGAGTATGTATTTGTTGATTTTTGTTACGGTGTTACAGTATAAGGAAAAATTGTTATCATTAGGTACATGAAAATTTTATTATTATATCATCTTGATTTTATTGGTTTGGATTCGACAATCTATTTGAATATAACATTATTATTTTCAACATGTAATGTGATATACCTATGTAGATTTTTTGAAAATTGGGTTACCATGGTAAATTATCAGTTAGGTAGCTATAGAACAGTCTATACTGCAGTAACAAATCGTTATCCTACAATAAGTCTTTATTCAAGTGCGTCGTTGGAATAATTGAAGCATTTTCATCTTCATTTTGTTCTCCCAACGTTTTTGCACTAATTTAATGTAAGGCTGAAAAAAAAATGTATTAAAAATAGTAAGCAACAACGATTATACAGTACTGATTCAACAATTGGAATCAATACTTTTACACATTTGAAGGTACGTTTATTGGCAGACGTAATTACTCTGGCTTTGTTGGACTATTTGACTTGGTGATGATGGATCATTTTCATTGTTGTCTTTACATTTATGTTTGGTGATGCTATTGCCATAATCAAATTGATAGTAATGCCTTTCTTACCGCCTGCACTGTACAGTAGTATTGATAGTCTGTGGACGATTGACTATTAGCCGATCCCTTTGCAAGTTGTGATGACAGTATGCACCATGGTACATGCACTCAGCATATCATTAAAGGGTATCGATTACTGCTAAGCTTAAGGTCTCTACTCTCTAGTGTAGATCATGTAAATGAGGGTATACGTATAGTAGCATTTCAAATTGAAATTCTTATTTGCTTGCCATACAGGAGCTTTACACTACAGGACTGTATCGATTATCTATCGCCACTTTTGGGTACCGTGTGACTACAGTGCTAGAAGAAAGCTACTGTATACAGACAGGCTAGTTATCCATGGCGAAGTACAGTCCAGCATATTCTGGCACCATATCACAGTATTTTATTTTAAAAATAATGTAAGCACCTTGAGTTTTGCACGATAGTGTCATGAGTTTTGCACTGTAGCTACAGTACGACCTTTACTCCACCACATCCATCTCTCCTATAGTACAGTATACAGTACAGTACTGAGGCGATATTATTTTCTTTAAATACTGTAAGTGACAAAAGTACTGTAGGCAATATAAAAAAATGGACGTCACCCTCATCATAGATAGATTGATAGTACAGTATACGAAGAATTGCCACTAGTGCGTCAATAAGGTGACATTTATTTCGCTAGCAATGGAGGCCGGTGTGGCAAAGTATCCTACCAGTATCAAATTATAACATGGAAGATGAAGGTAGAGTAGTCGCTCTCTACTTTAAATCGTGTCATTATTTACTGGTCAATCCATTCAGTAGGCCAATACTGGAGGAACGGTTGAAAAGCTACCAATGGATCGATAAAAGTTGAAAGGATGAAAGGAGATGACGGAGCTATGCCAAATTAAACTATCAAGATATTGGCGTATCCTTTAACTGACAATAGGTCTTGCTCAGGATTACAGAGCCACCATGTGTTTCATTCATACAGTTCCAATGGAAAAAGTTCGTTCTTCATGACAAAGACGATGTTGTTAAGAGCGATTTTAACTCAATGAAACATCCCTATCCACTAGACATAATCGAAATGAAAGCAACTCATTTTTCTTTTGATGAAATCGTGATTTGGGTAGCGGCCATTTTCAGCTTGGTCTATCACTTTTGTTTTACCGTAGTTGTACCTTAACCAAAGCTTGTGCTATGTGTATCACCAAAGGGTGACATTCATTTTGTACAGGGTGCCTACCTATACTGCTGAGTGTACAGTACCAACAATGCCTATGCACTGTAGGCAATGTGAAGTCTTAGTAATGAAAATAGGCTTGCAGAAAATTCATACAATGCAACCCAACCAACGAACCTGTTTGAGTAGTCAGCCTTCGCAGTAAACGCCATTTAGTCTTGGTACTCTACTCTCCCCAGTCAATCTTCAAAGACAATTTTCACTGATTCGCCATGGCGATGGCACGACCAGCGAGATGGATCGCCATGTTAATCCTTTGCTGCTCGATAGTAGCAAGCCAGGACACTTTGGATAGGAAAAGTACGTTAAGACATCATTCACTGGTTGGACCTACCATTAAAATCTTATACTGGTAAGTTTTAGCTAAGAAAAAGTCGTTCATAGATGCCTGTTTGAGTCATTTTTGCCACAATTTTCAAAGAGCCTGTCCAGAATTTTCATTGACTCTTTCATAAGCGCTGCCAGGGACTTTTCCATTTTTTGTGGTAATAAAAAAAATCAAAAATCCATTGCACTACTCATGGCATGAATATCGGCTCTATTTTTTGTCCTAGTAGTTCAAAGCTGAAATTTTTCCACTGTATCGTACTATCCTATCCCATGGTAGGAGATTTCCTGTGAACGTTTTGCAAGAGAAATAGTGATGACACGCGTATTGGAACAGGGCAATATTGAGGATAACCAAGGCCTTTTCAATGAATTACAGTAGTTCAAAGCTGAACTTTTTCCATTTTATCGTACTATCCTATCTTATAGTAGGAGATATCCAGCGAACGTGTTGTGAGTGATGACATTGTGACAGGGGAATATGGAGGGACAACCAAGGCCTTGTCAATGAATTACAGGATAGATAGTTTGTATCTATTCACTCTTTAGTCAGCATGGATGATGCAGTATTCTTTTTTAGATATTCACGGGAGATAGACCCAATCATGAGACGTAAATTGGATGGTTACACGCAATAGAACAATTTAATTGTTATTGAACTTGACACATATGGGGGTAGTTTATTGGATAGTGGACAGAGGATGGAGAAAAATCTTGTCAACCTATACCATACCGACTACAGCTAGTGCTCGAGAGACTTGGCGAGAGTAAGCATTCAACTCCAAAGGGTAGTTCTAAAGAAAGAGTTTTTCCTCTTTGCTTAGGTTACTTTTTTAACAGCCTACTCTCAATAGAATAATTGAGTAAACAGTCTACTTCGACTTTGCCCAACATTAGAATGAATTGAAATACAAGGTTAACGTATTGGCTCAAGTCATCAACAATCTCAAGATTGAATTCTACGCCTGAAAAGATTTACCGCAATCTTGATAAATTGATATCTGGCCTTTACTACTTGCCACTTCTTTCCCCTTAATTAAAGTGTTAGACTACAATACCAACAAAAGCCTGCTTTCAGTGTCGTTATTCTAGGTGTGGAATAATATCGTTGCCCGCCGTCTTATTCATTTAAGCCTTTAATAATACGCCGTCTAGCCACGTTAGACTTTTGTCATGATTATAATCACATTTTTAGAGTGCAGAAATGAAATTGGCTCCAGATAGAGATAAATACCCTAAATATACAGTAGGCTACAGTTGAAAGCACCTGTCATCATGCAGCAATAGAATAGTTATAGCAACGTTCAAGCGAGAGCTGATCAAATAGAATTCAAATTAATTCCTCAGACTGTACTTGTCGTCACAATACAAGTAGGATCCTAGAACCCAATATTTTCCCATGGATTACTCTACTATTGATGAAATTGAAAGTTTTATGACTGATAGATGTTCTTGTATAAAATAAAACGAAATATCGATTGGAGGGGATTTAGCGTAAGCCTTGAGTGAGCATGATTTTCTAATAGATATCTTGGAAATAGACATGAAATTTACCAATGGTTTAATGAATACTGAATAATTGCCTATTGTTGTGTGTATGCCTAGTGTTTTGATTATTAGTGAGCAATAGATGATAACATTAATATAATAATTATCCATATTTCTCGACTTATGGATCAAATAGCTGCCAACAGTGTTAAAAATTTCTACAATAATTCCTCTAGGATGTACTGTTTGAAATGACGTAATGTAACCACTACGTCTTTTCGTTAAAGTAATAAATTGACATAAAGTTATGTAAGAGATTGTAAATTTGATGTGATGAACGATATCATTTCGGCGTATAGGACAAAAATCTTATTTTTTTCTCCTTTTTTACCATCTGTTCCAATGATATCAACGATTTGCAATGGATAGTGCTTCCTGAGGTTACCGGAATGCATTCCAGCAGTACTCTCAGTTTCTGCAATCAAGTTTTCCTAGCATTAATGTAGAAGGAGACGTTTATCCCCCACCGGCAAGTCGTGTACTATTATCGCGGTTCATCAACACGTTTAAATTAGCCCTGATTGGTTTACTAGTCAGTGGATTTGCTGAGCGTTTGTTAGATGGATTCAATTTAGGACGTCCCTCTATTTACCTTTGGGCAAACGAAAATAAAGTAAGTAAAACTATTCCTTTTTCCCAGTTGCAGGATACGACATGTTTGGGATGGAAAGTGATGCCTTGTTAGCGGTTAACTGTTACTACATAGTATATTATGCTGCTATTGTATCGATAACGTATGGTAGTACGTAACTCACAAAGGTTTGCATAGGTATATTTATGGATATTCTTTTCTGAAGTTCAGTCTGATTTATAAGATCATTTGTATAGCCTCGGAATCGATTGATATTATTAGTAGGATAAATGCAGTGTATTTCATCGTTGTCATGTTCTATTCGTAAAGTGTAACAAATGTATCAATTAACGACAGACAAAATATACGGTTTAGTTTATCTGACCATTTGGCTTTCTTGAAGAGTTTTGATCATTCAGTCTAATTTATACAATATTTTGTACATCCTCGAAATCAATAGAGTTCAGTAGTATAAATCCAACTTTTCTCATATTGTCGTGTTTTACTCGTAAAGGGTAGTAAAATGCATTAATCGACTATAGACAAATATACGGTTTAGGTTATGTAACGATTTAACTATCTAGAAGAGTCGTCATCATGTAAGCTAATACAATATTTTGTACATCCTCGAAATCGATAGAGTTTAGTAGGATAAGTCCAGCTTATTTCACAATTGTTATGTTTTGATCGTAAAGGGTAATAAATGTATCGATTGACCATAGATAAAGTATATACGATTTAGGTTGTCTAAGCATTCAACTTTCACAAGTGTCTTTATCATTCAGTCTAATTTATACATTCATTTATATATCCTCGAAATCGATAGAGTTTAGTAAAATAAGAGCAGCATATTTCATAATTATCATGTCAAATGTATCAATGACGTCACACGAAATATTCGTTTTTTGGAGGTTTTCTAACCATTTGCTCTTTTTGAAGAATCTTCATCAAAATAGGGTTGCTTGCGCTTCCAAGTCAGATTATATAAGTACAATAGTCCGCTTGGGAATTAGACTAAACACTTTTATCTTTAATTCTATCTAGATAACTGCCTGCATGATCATATTTTTTTTACTGAACAGTTTGGAACAGCAGCTTTTATCAACTGGGGCCTTTGAAGTAACATTAAATGGTAAATATACTGTCAACGTTAGCACTACTTTTATTTTTATATGGAGTATGTAATATTATTCAAGGCACCGACAATGATGATACCTTCATGAATGAATGTTGCAGATTAACTTGCTTTATATTTGTTACATTAGCTATTTAGCATGACTCTTAATAAAGTTGCGTACACAATAAAGTTTAATGAATTGTTTCTTGGTAATAAAATATGAAAGTGTCATGTTGACAGTAAATTTTAGTACTGATGTGATTATTTTACCTTTGCTAATCATTTACGTTTTGTCGTTGATCAATCTATACTTTGAAGGTATCAATGTTTGGTCAAAATTAAATTCAGGACGGCTACCTTCAGCAGATGAATTACAACAAATCATCCAACAGCAATATTCATTCAAATCAATATAAAGCGTTTCTAAGTTGTACAATGTACAGAAAATAACCATCCACTAGTAGTTTAAATCTTGCTAGTGGTGAAAATCAGGCTTCAATGTTGTCTCTATGTCGGTTGGCTAGAAGTAGATGTCCTATGATGTCAGAAATTGAAAGAGAAATATGACTTCTCAAATTTTTGACGGATGATTCTGCATTTCTTCTAGATCATCTCATAGAGATGTTACATATTCAAAGTTTGCTTAATTAAAATTACGCCATAACCGAGCATAACTCATTTTATCATATTTTAGTAATTTCTACATCTCTTAAATTAGTTATTATTTGTCGTTACTAGTTATTCCTTTGTTGTCTGCTCTATAATAATATAGTAATATTGATTAATACAAAAAGTTGATCAACTTTTGGGCTTTATTAAGGTAGATGATACTGTGTTATCGTAGAATCTGTATTGGTGTTATTTATTCCTTCACTTAACTTAGTGAAATTGGCTAGCTTTAATGATATATCACTTTATCTTTATTTTAGCCATAAATTGTAATTCTGGTGCAGTGCATGTTGTATAATCTCGTATATTACTGCAATGTAATCATTCAATTCGTAGGTATCGTATACTGTAGTATAATCGATTAAGAATTCGATCAATATCATATTGTACCGTGGAACATAACTGAATGATACAGTATTATTGTCACATCTTCATTATAGTAATGTATTGCCGGGTTCATGATGACATTGTTATGTCTACATAGCATTCATGATAATAAAGTTAATATTTAAATTGTTGAGCCTACCATTGCTTGCTCGTATTAATTATTCGCTGCTGGCTAATTGACCCCGACTAAAAGAGCACAAATTATGACTGTATGTAGTGAACTTATTCAGCATTACATGTACCTTGTTGAAAGATATCTACCGGTTTTAGTATAGATATAGTACGTTAAATTCGTCAAGATCGTTATTTCCACGTAAAATGGAACCACCGTTAGGGAATTCCGAGATAATACCTTTAGAGTAATCAACGTAACAAAAACAACATACTGTAGGTCATAGTGCATAATTAATAGAGTTCATTCAGTTATCATGATTCTTTTCTTTAGTTTAAAAAAGTATTAAAAAATTTCAAGTGGATTAAATGGTGACATCTTGTAAGCAAGAAGTCAAATAAAGTTCGAAATTTCCTCGATGATTATAAATTGTTAGCAGATTGTCTCTATTACTCTAGTAATTCTTGCATAAATTAGAGTTGATTCAGCAAACAATTGCTGCTTCTCTAGTTTAAAATATATACTTTTAACAGCATTGGAGATAATATCTTTTAAGCTAGAAGTTAAATCATTCTTCTATAAAATTGCACTATAATCCATTGTTATAAAGTTAATATTACCGCAAATAAAATAAGTTCACAACACAGC